AATTCCCACAAAACCCACCAGCTATGAGATGCCCAACAGGTAAGTCATTTAATGAGGTTATAGAGCAGGGGGTGGGAGGTCTACCGGTGTGGGGTGACTGAATTCATGGTTTTGCTAAGCCTCCCGTGACCCATATATCTTTATACACATATTTCTATAATATATTGTTCCTTTCACTGTTGCATCGCTTTGTATTATTATAATGCTCCCGCCATAGTAAGATATGTTACCGCCACAGTAAGATAAACTAGAAGAGAGAGAGAAAGAGAGGGACAGTGTTGACAACGAACTTTGCTGAGGTGTTAAATGTGCGCGCCGGCCACATGTTAAGTGAAGAAACTGTTTACAACTCAGAATAGCTTACTAAGCGAGATGGAGCTGGTAGCAGCTGTGTGACTGCCTGAGGGACAGTCTATCGCCTTCTACTGTAAAGGCAACATCTTTCTGCAGGACATTATATTTGTTCTAGTTGTTCTAACCCTAGACTCCAAAAGGTGAGTGTGATTGAGAACTATTGAATCCTCTGAGAACTCTAAATAACTTTAATAAGTGTAATTATGTACTGTATATTTATCGTATTATTCAAACTGTGTCCTGATGTAACAGCAGTTGTTATATGTGAATTGTATTCAACAGGTTTTGACCGAATTATACTCATCGCGTCAACAACAAGGGTCTTATTGTCCTGTACAAACCAAAATCGCTCCTATGAGCGAATATAATAATATGTACGATATATGAATCAATCTCCACGTATTACAAATTCTGGGGCGTCAATATTTTGAACTATTGTTTGATCCATTGTGTGATTTACCAAGGAGTCACTGTCCCTGTGCGAAGAAGCTTCCTCGTGTATGATAATAACGAAATAAACAAATTTCCTCGCATCACTCATATTGGAATTTTTCCTTATTAGAAACATCTATGTGTGTATTTTGTACACAAAGTTTATATTCCAACATCTATGTATTATTATTGTCTCGGGAATTACATCTAGGAATCATTTCTACCAATCAGCTCCATTGTTACAAGACTACTACGGATTCATTCATAAGTTTGCTGTAGTGTTGCGACGGTGCCACACGTACGAAAACACTACAATGGGAGTAAAGGAACTCTTCTGAGGCAACTGTACCTCGACAGTGAAGGTATACAAACACTGGCAAATAGTAAGACAAATCGACCAAGAAAAGTCAACAAAGCCACCAACAGATGCTTAATTCCACCTGCGTCTATTGCTTAGGCTTGGTTATTAATGAGTAACAGTATATCTACAGTAATAAAAGTGCAGGTTAAGATTCGGTAAAGGACAATCACGGAACTTTATTGACTTATTTACCTTATTTACCTAATGGCCACCCACTAGAGGTGGCCATGCCGAGGGAAGGTGACCAGTGGCCAGTGTTTTTGATGGTTTGTTAAGGGTTATTTTGAAGCCCAATACTGTTCGTGATTCCACAGCTTGGGCTAGTAGACCATTCCATAGGTCTACCAGCCTCTGTGTAAAGAAGTATTTCCTTTTGTTCGTTCTGCATAATAACTTGGCGAGCTTGTAGTTATGTCCCCTCGTGTTGGTGGTGCGTGACCTCGCAAAGAAATGTCCCTGGTTCACGTTTTCCAGCACTTTCAGGATTTAGAATGTTTCGGTGAGATCTGCTTTAATTGTGCCTTGTCTGAGGGGTTGTTAGTCCCAAGGCCCCCAGTCTACTTGGATAATTGAGATGACATAGTTCTGGAATCATCTTAGTCACTCTGTGGTACTTTTTTCTAGGTCTTTCTAGAGGTAGGGTTTCCATGCCTGTATACAGTAATCCAGACTGGGCCGTACTTAAAAATTGTACAGCTGAAGGGGCATTTTCCTATCTTTATATTAGAAGGTAAGCTAATTACCAAATCTCGGTTTGTTTTTCTCACTGCTGCCCCCACTTGTTGTGTCGTGTTCAGTGAATGATCTGTCACGATCTTTCTCCTTATCGACAATATATGTATTTATATAAGGAGATAAGAAACACAATAATAATAATAATAATAATAATAATAATAATAATAATAATAATAATAATAATAATAATAATATTAATAATAATAATAATTCTACAGTCAATTACGTTTCCGTCGCAAGTTCATATTTTTTGAGTTACTTTGCCTTTCTTTATTTCACTTAAGAAAGTATAAGTTCCCGGGAGACATTGTTTACATCTTACACACGTGACTGTCCCGCCAATCTGTTTAAGTCTTGATGTCACGTGATACTCCTGCTCTTGATCATTGCTCAGCCTAATGTATTTGACCTGAGTAAATGGGGTAGTCGCAAGGGTGCTACTTCTCAAGTTCTTGTAAATAACGCCATTGCTATTGTCATTTTCAAGCCCAATGGTGTTCTACAAACTCCGTAAAGTGTCCAAAGTGTGGCGCAGACTGCCATGATCATGAAGACAAACACGTATGATTTTTCACGAAACTACAATTGCCAAAACACGGGTAAGGTAAAGTTAGGTCTGGCTAGGTCTGGTTAGATCAGGCTAGGTCAGGTTAGGTCAAGCTAGGTCAGGTTAGGTCAAGCTAGGTCAGGTTAGATCAGGCTAGGTCAGGTCAGGTCAAGCTAGGTCAGGTTTCGTGAAGTTAGTTTGTTCAGTGTCAATCCTTAGGTGACAGGTGAAGAGGTGAGGAAGGACGAGGGAACAGGGAACAGGATAAGGAGCTAGGATAATGACCACAAACCAAACGCTCACTACCCAGCTGGCCATCTGTAGTGCGAATATAACAAAGACACGATAAAGACACAACGGACATATTGGAGAAGCTGAACACACTGGACACAATCATTGATGATCAAGACAAAAGGTTACGTCAGTCACCTGTCTTACTCGTCTCAACTACTTTATAGGTCGTCTGTCACTCACCCAAACATCAAGAGTTCAAAGTTTCCAAAGTTTTGTTGTTGTTTTCGTAACTGGGATGAGAGGCAGCACATCAATTTACAATAACGTCTGAACACAACTTGGACGCCATCTTTGTATATCAGATGACGGACAATTATACTCGTGTTGGATAACTTTTTTTTTATCTGTTTTATACATTTTCACTTGTACTTATGTTAAGATGCTGCCACAGTCATACCAATTGTTAAGTACTATGTATGTTTAGTTGTATATAAGTTATGATACCACATGAAGAATCCTAAGACATCACATTGATATGAAATCGTCATTATCAGTTTATTTTAGTATAATAGGTGTAAATCATATCATTATAGAGTTAGTGCGTAGAAAATTCTATATAAAAATGTGAAATTTGTTTTATTTATTCCTTAATTACGTCATAATTAGTCACGAGAAGTGTCAGTGGTTGAGATAGATTCTGACTCAGAACTTCGTTGTTGCTCGTAACTTAAGCTATGCCATGTTGTGAGTCATTTAACATTCAGACGAGTGTTAGAGTTTATAAGTGACTGATGTATAACATTTCCTTGTGAGGGGCACGAGGGACGCCCACTGAGTGTATACGTGATCATATGAATACTTATATTAAGGAGACGTCAGGAGTCGGTCCGCTAAGAACAATTCCTGTAGATGATAATTTATTCCTGTAGTGATGTTAGACTGTGTGTATCTGACTCACCTGCTCTACAAATGGGAAGAGTGAAATGGTAGCAAAACACATTGACATTTACCTGAATCTTGTTTAGTCTCTTTATACTCACAGTTTACAGGAGAAAATTATCACACACACACACACACACACACACACACACACACACACACACACATCATTGAGAATCCGAACCCAGGTACTCTGTATGGGTATAAGTGGTCTAGAGCAGAGGTGGTCTCGGGCCTAGGTGGTCTGGGGCCTAGGAGGTCTGGAGCCTAGGAGGTCTGAGACTTAAGAGGTCTAATAGCACTGGAACCCTTATGAATGATCACCGAAGTAACTATGATGATGAAAAGAAACGCGTGTAGGTGAGATAAGACTCAGCTGCATACACACACTGATGGATCTATATATCAGCCACTCATTCTTATTCTCCTCCCTGGATGTACACTCACCTGGAGATGACACAACCGTAAGCTGCTGCATATAGTTACTTATTACATTCGTTGAAGTGTATTTTTGTGTGTGTGTGTGTGTGTGTGTGTGTGTGTGTTGTACTTTCGTGTGTATATTGGATCTTAATCTCATCATACATTTTGATAAAGACAATTTGACATCCTTAATACACCTTAGACACGAGCAGCTCTTGGCGACACACCGAGAATGACACTAAAGGTTGTTTGGTTTGGTTAGGTTCTACTATCTAGATTTAGTGCCTTCAATGCTTTTCTTTTTACCCAAGTACCATGATACCTTTGAGAGAGAGAGAGAGAGAGAGAGAGAGAGAGAGAGAGAGAGAGAGAGAGAGAGAGAGAGAGAGAGAGAGAGAGTATTCCTCATCTTCAGACATTTTTTCTGTTTTTATTATTGAACATTATATCCTCCCTTGTGTCTCATGAATTATAAACTAAACATGGCCTCTCCTCGGCGTCCTCCAGTTGTGTTCACTTGACACATCCCTGAACTCCGAGGATTCATTGTTAACATCAGCACTCTCAGGTTTTATTCAGGAGCTTCAGTTACCCATTCGCTCCTGTAGTCTCATAGAATTGCTCCCACACCATCAAGTTTCACAGTGCTGCCACCAGAGGGCGTCTTATTCTATGACAGATCAAAGACACACATCGACCAACACTACTCAAATGTTAGAAACCAATCACGAGACACAGCCATACAGACCCGCCTACTAGAATGCACTAGCGACCAATACGGGTAGAGCAGCCAGCTAGAGTATCTTCCAGTAGACCAGTTATGGAAGAGCAGTCAACTAGAGACTTCCAACGGGCCAATGGGAGCAACAGATCAATCAGGCTGCACCTAATTAAGAACCAATCCGCTTGAATGTACTCACGCATGGATACATTCAGTTTATCCCAAATAGTTAACATAAACTCTATATCAGTGTTACCTTCGCTGCTCAACGCGTGACTCGTATAAATTTCGGTGATCTCGGAGTCCGTGTAACAACTCAGTCTTTGTGGTGTTTGGCTAATGGCAGGACAGATTACCTTCAGACAGCTTTCTTAAAGATTATGTTTCTCATGTGCTGTTAACATAGACTAGTGTTCTTGATGTTGTAAAGGGTAACACTACATACATACATACATACATATCCTGCACAGAGAGAGAGAGAGAGAGAGAGAGAGACACTACTCCCACCCTTCTCATGACTTGTGAATGCGTCAACCACAACCCGTTTGGCTATTAACTTTATACATTTTTTTTCTTCAACTAAAGAGAAAAAAATATGACACATTCCAACATAACATAACAACGTAACATAATAAAATATAACATAACATAGATGGTAATTAATGATTCTTGTCACCAGTACCACGGAGAGGATCAATGAATCTTGACTTCCTGATAGTGGTGATGGATGTGGTGGCCCTTGGAGCTGCTCTCAATCTGCCTCTGACGTTTTTAGGTCAGTTTTCAACACTCGAAATCCCTCTCGAGTCGGTCACAAACTGACCTTACACCTAACCTAACCTAACCTGACCTAACCTAACCTGACCTAACCTAACCTAACCTAACCTAACCTAAACTAAGTTAACCTAAACGTATACATTAACCTCCACTAAACGTAACCTAATCCACGACTAACTTTATATAAATAGTAGGTACTGTACCTTAAACGTAACTTGACCTCCCCCAACGTAAGCTAAGCGTACCACTGTCTTGCTGTACCACTGTTTTGCTGTACCACTGTCTTACTGTACCACTGTCTTGCTGTACCACTGTCTTACCATTACAGGGAGTCAGGAGTCACTGGGTGGAGCTGTGAGGGGCGTGCTGGAGGCCTCCTCACCAAACAGCTGTACCGTCATGGTGGTGACACAACACGTCGACCACCTCTCCACCCTCCTCCAGGTAACCTTCCTCCTTCACCCCTCCAGGTAACATTCCTTCTCCAGGTAACCTTCCTTCTCCAGGTAACCGTCCTTCTTCAGGCAAACTTCCTCCTTCACCCCTCCAGGTAACCTCCCTTCTTCACTCCTCCAGGTAACCTTCCTTCTTCACCCCTCCAGGTAACCTTCCTTCTTCACCCCTCCAGGTAACCTTCCTTCTTCACTCCTCCAGGTAACCTTCCTTCTTCACTCCTCCAGGTAACCTTCATCCTCAGTGGCCTTCTCCTTCACCCCTCAGGTAACCTTCCTTCTTCCTCCTCAGGTAACCTTCCTTCTTCCTCCTCCAGGTAGCAGCCATTCTTCCTCCTCAGGCCTTCCTTCTTCCTCAGGTGGCTGTCTTATACCCCTCAGGTAACCTTCCTTCACTCCTCTATTCCTTCTTCAGGCAACCTTCCTCCTCCCTCCTCAGATAACGACCTTCTTCCTCCTCAGGTAACCTTCCTTGAGGCAACCCAGCCCTCCTCCACTCTTAACCTTCTTCCTCCTCCAGGTAGCCTTCCTTCTTCTTCCTCCTCCACTCCTCCAGGTAACCTTCCTTCTGTGTCCTTCATCGCTTTCCACGAGAGTCTTTCTACACAAGATGGGTGCTAGGTGACACACACACACACACACACATTAAGAAAAGGGAAACTCAAACTATGAAGAAGACAGATCAGCTGATATGTCCCATAACACTGTACAAAACCTAACTGTAGTATTGTTGTTGTGTGCAGGAAGTGAGGGAGGCTGGGCACCCCTTGGCGTTGTTCAGGGTGGAGGGCGGCGTCAACACCACCCACTCAGATCTGCCTCACCTGGTGTCCTCCGCCAGGAAGGTGAGACACATCCCACTGCACCTACACACGTAACACTGCTTACTAATATCTCCTTAACAACCAAACAGCATTGCCCACCTTGTATTTCATGGCCCTTTGAACCGTCTGTTTTCCCGTAATATTTCTATATTATTTCCTAAATTAAACGCACGTTGTGTATATACGAGTCAATTAACTTTCAAACTACTCTTCACGATTTGCCTTTGCACAGTATTACTGACTAGCGGCGCCGACTTTTACTTTGGTATCTTTATTCTCTCTCAATATACGCACAATACACCCATTATTATTAATCATGTTCATATACGCAATTAAAAAAAATGAATGTTCATTTAGGCTTTTTTATTCCCCGTCTTCCATCAACATTACCACACCCGATATTGTTAACAACATCTACAGTATGTGGACAAGTGAGCCATGTCCTTAGTTTTGACCCAAATGTCCATATCTTGTATCTGCCGCACTCTACTTAGCCAAACTCATGTAACTGCATATAACTTACAAGTCAGTTTGTTTTTATACATATGACTCATTATAAACAATGTGGTTGTGAGGTGCGGCAAAAGTCTTGGTGTGTAACGGTGGTGGTGGTGAGCGACGACCCCGCCTTCCTCGCCTCCTTCGCCCAAAAGAGCCGGAGTGGGCGGCTCCTCGTGTGGGAGTCGAGGCTGATGTTGGTGACTCGCCTACTGAGCCTTCCACAGGTGAACACACTCCTACAGCGCCACTGGACCTTCTCCATGATGAACACGATGTTGATCAACCTCAACAAGGACTCAGCCAGGTAATATCAGGTGACACTTACAGGAGTAACTTACCTGTCTCCTGCACTTGAGTATATACTGTATACTGTATGTCGCCTTCCCTCTCTTTATCGTCAACTACTCATTATTAACGTCTGTTATCCAGTCAACAAAGAAGTTATATATCTTAATAACGTGTGAGTAAATAAACTATGTCTAATAATGATAAAATACGTTGAGTAACAAGTTTCATTTCAACCTAAAGTCGTCAAAATCTGACCTAAACAGAACTTTACGTGTTATTGTTCGACTACAACAGGTAATCTAATGTGTTGCTAAAAAAGATAATGAAAAATCAGCCGTATAGTATCGGTTGAGACCAGTTAATACTTGCACCAGAATATCAGCCACTCTGTTTAACCTGTCATCGTGGTGAGGGCAGGTGGGAGGTGTACACCCATCAGCCCTACACCCCAACAGGATCGCGAGTGTTGCTCCTGGCATACTGGACGCCTGAATCTGGCCTCATACGTGCCCGCAACGCTTCTCTCTTCCCTGAGAAATTCACAAAGTACGTACACAACACCAGTGAACCTCTGTAGATTATGGTATGTTATCTCGTCATGATAACACAGAAGGAAATAAGTTCATAACTACTATCATTTATAAAAAATACCCATAATTCATCACATTTCTATCTCAGTTTACTTTCTTTTCAACTGATGTTTACTTGTATTCTGGTGGGCAGGTAAGCATTCTTTTCAGTACTTAATCAACGGTAAACGGCTGCCACCACCCAGATTTTAGTCAGAATATAATATATCAGTAAACTCGCAAATACCTTGGTAGCTTGGCCAAAGAGGTCTAGGACGCGTGGATTATTATACATTTTCTGGCACAAGTTGGGGGAGACAAAATATAAAAACTAATGTCTTTTACTTTATAGTTAGAAAATGTAAGTATTTCAATTAACAATCATAATACTTTAGTAGACAAATAACGGCTAATACTCAACTACAGTGACCCTAGCATGTAGTGGTCACTTCAAACACCTTCAAGTAACATTCACAATTGTACTAAATTCACGATAATTTTCTTCCCTCCTCTGGACGATGAATGACACTTCAGCTTCCACGGGGCACACGTGCCAGTAACCGCCCTCATCCTGCCGCCCTTCTGGAAGGTTATAGGTCGTGCCCCTGACGGCTCCATCGAATACTCTGGCCGCGACTGTCTCATGATGAAGTCAGTGGCCCGCGCCCTTAACTTCACCATTGTTCTTCTTCGCTCCTCCAACATAGATGAGGTCAGAGTAATACCTTATAGTAATACCTAAGTCTTTAAGGTACGATGTGCAATATATTATAAATTCACCTACACTAATATAACAACGGAACTCTCCCACTGGGTGAAATGAAAGCTGATGTACACATGATCAAGAAAGTATTTGTGCACATTTCGCGCGAAGCAATCTGACAACACAGACGATGTATATTGCAATATGCCATATATTGCTTGCTGACGATATTTCATGTTTTACACACACACACACACACACACACACACACACACACACACACACACATACACACACATTTCAGGTGATGGCCAGACTGGAGGACGGCAGGGCCATGATCTTCGCCTTCCGGGTGATGCTCATCCCCCAGGTTTTGGCCCGAGTTGACCACACCTACTTCATCGACCGGGCCACCTTCACCTTCTCTATGCTCAAGCCCACCATTATATCCCGGTGGCAGAATCTCTACTACCCACTACAGATGGAGGTGTGGGCCGCTACCCTGGCACTGCTGGTCGTCATGCCGGGGTTGTTGTACGTGGTAAGTTCTTGGTTTGTTGTACATGTTGAGTTTAATGTACAGTTGGGGACTTTTCCACCTGGTACATTTAGCATTGTCAATCAACCGTCTCTTACAAAGAGTTCTATCTCTCATAATTTTTTATTTTGTCGAACTAATGTATTACTAACCTTGTTACGTGCTTAATGACCTTGGTGTTGAATTGCAGCAATAATATTATTACACCAACAACCTTATCCGAGATGTGTGAACCCGTGAGTATCGACTCATGAGTCCGAAGCCTCTCAGTTGTTTGGTGAAACATGAGGGGCACACAGTAGCCCGGGGCAGTGCTTCTTTAACTGGTGAATGGCTTACCCAAGAGTGAATTAAATTTTTGTTGGTATGAGGGAAGGGGGAATGAATCAATATGGGTGAATAAGTTAAATTATACTGGGTTTTTAATATTTTTTTCTTTTGTTCATGTAAAAATACAAACAGGATTACCTGAAGCATCTCCTCCCCAGCTCATTTTCACCTAGAGATTAACCACCATAACTCTATTTAGGGATGAGGTTAGGTTAGTGTTAGGGTGGTTAATAATGGTATAGAGAGGAACCAGACACAAACAGTCCAATTGAAATTGGTAACGATGTCGCGCGGTTTAAACAAATCTCTTTTCACCAGACCTATCATCACCTGCCCTAGATGATGATGTTTGGCCACAGTTAGATCGTTTAGAATAAGTTTGAGCATCATGACCTCCTGTGATCAAAATCAACATTACATATTTTCTCTGTTTCTTCCTGTGATGGGACGGTATATCTCTGAGGTCTTCTTCACGTGACAGCTCGTGTACGCCAGTGGTAACCAGAGGGTGAGGGCGACACTTAAGACGAGGTCGTCGGTGCTGGAGATCGTGGGGATGTTACTGGGACAAGGCCTCTTGGTGACTCTTTTCCGTGACAACTCAACGCGGATGTTGGTGGTGGTCTGGCTAGTGTTTGCCTTCATCATTTGCACAGCTTATCGTGGGACCCTCACCGCCTTTCTCACTGTGCCCAAGTACCCTCACCGCCCAGAGACCATTGAAGAGCTGGCAACTACTGGCGTTGGGTAAAGACTATTGTGACCTACAGTAGTTTGTTGTAGTTAATGGGTAAAGAAGCAGAGAAGTGGTATACGTCACACCCAGAAAATTGTATATAATAATATGGGGCATTATTATTATTATTATTATTATTATTATTATTATTATTATTATTATTATTATTATTATACAGTTTTTGAGGGCAGTTATGTGGTAGAAACAATATTTTGTACTTAAAAAAATCTAAGGAAAATTTTCTTTACGTTATTTACTTCCTTCCCTAAAGAGTAAGTATGACAAAGAGAAAAATGGTTGATTTGTTGTCTGTTCAGTACAATAAAAAGCAAACGATTATTTACGAACAATGATTTACTCGAACTTCTCTGATAACTTTCTTTCATCGAGTAAAAAAAAATTATACAAGAAATCTTAAAACCTCAGGAACTTGATTTCCATTAATGAAAATTAAATAAGAATTCGGTAGAGTTGTTTCTGTCAGACTACTTTAAGTATGTGTCGCTACTCTTAACTTATTGTAAACAAAATATTCTTCAGGTATATTTTAATTACATTGTTTGTTGTTGTCTCTAAAGGGTGAGGTTCACCCAAAACGCCACACGGTTCCTGAAGTACTTCGAGGAGTCCAAGTTGAGTGCGTACAAGAGCGTGAGCAGCAGAGTAGAAATCGTGGACAGTGTTATGGCTGGCCTGCAGGAGGTCTCAGAGAACAAGTGAGTAAAGCTCCTCGTCACGGTTGAAACTCTCCCTGGCTCCACAGTTCATGAGGTGAGATTTGCACCTCGTTTTGGTTGATACAGTAGCTGGTTTTGTTGTTTAGGCTGTAGAGGTAAGTTAGAGAACGTTAAAAGTAGACTTCTCTCTTCCTGATGTTGCACTGTATCTGATGACGCGTGAGAACACGTTTACCTATTGGTTGTGGTTTAAACTATCACCAGCTGCATAGTTTGGGGAGGCGCATAGAGCCCTCAGGATGAAACTTAAGTGTGAGGATTTGGTGAGAGAAACAGCAAGCTATCGTAACTTATCATATTACTAATTCAGGGAATAATACCAAGGTGATATTTTCTCTCAGGCAAAAATCTCTTCTGTTTGGCTGTAGTTTAAAATTAATGCTCTTCCCAGGATTGCCTTTTTCCACGAGCGCTACAACACGGAGTTGTACATCACCCAGTACTTCACGGATCCTGACGGGATATCGCAGTTCTACGTGGCCCGCCAGAACGTTATCCCCAATTACGCCGCTTACATGACCCCGCACGACGCGCCCTACAAACACTCACTCGATTACTGGCTACTCCGCATCATCGAGGTCAGCCTCACACGCTTACAGTAAATAACAGTATTTAAAATAATGTTATATTGATGGGTAGGTTTGACTTTCTACCCTTCTGTTGTCTACCGATGGTAAGCAAACCTTCTGTACGTAACAAAACCGATAACAGACACACACACACACACACAAACACACACAGTCTTGACGTATATTTCTTATTATCATTCCCTAGAGTGGACTGAAGGAGAAGTTTACGGACGACATGGTGAGGGAGGCCTGGCAGGAGATTCGTCAGAAGAAGAAGAAACAACGTGAGGACTTGCAGGAGCAACAGACCAACAGTGTCGTTGCGAAGTCCGGGGACAGCCAGAAGCCCCTCAGTCTTACCCACCTACAGGGCGCCCTATTGCTCTTGGTACTTGGGTTTATCCTCGGAGGCGTCACCTTCGTCCTTGAGATTGGGACGGTGGAACACTGTCGGCCGCTATCCTCCCAGGCCAATGTTCCCTCACAGTGACGAAATATATGAGATTACGAGACACTGCACGTTCCTGGTACTGTATGTATGTATGTAGTGCTCTACCGCCCAACCATCACATCTTGCACATCTGAAAACTCATTCTTAATCTATGTTTGTAATGAATTTTCGTGTGTGTACAGATAACTTAGTGAGCCACGGAGCGGAAGTCACCAGCTGATCTAGTATATATAATGTACGTGATCTCAACCTACTAACACAGACTCCGTTATACACCATACAACTTCTGATTGTATTTTAATTTATGCTCTATGTATTTTTATGTATACTCTATATGCTGATCACTGTAACTGTACTCAATAAATGAAGTGGAAATCAGACATGTGTATAACTCATGTCCTTTGGTGAATCATGTATACTGTGGCAAGCAGAAGGTGCACAGTGCTTAATCAACCGTAATATTTTGTCCGAGAGCCGTGCTGTGAACCCTTGTTAAAACACTTTAGAAAATTTGGTGATGTTGTCGATAATGATGTTTTATTATCATCATTATTATTGTTATTATTATTATTATTGTTTTTGTCATTATTTGTTATTATTATTATTATTATTATTATTATTATTATTATTATTATTATTATTATTATTATTATTATTATTATTATTATATTTGGATTGTTATTAATATCATTATTATATTTGTCATTGTTATTATTATATTTGTTATTGTTGTTATTATGATTATATTTGTTATTATTATTATTATTATTATTATTATTATTATTATTATTATTATTATTGTTATTATTATTATTATTATATTTGTTATTGTAATTATTATTATTACACTTAGTATCAACACTAGCTTTATCATTATTAAGTCATAGTTCTAACTTTACGGAAATCTTAAGACTTTGGTCAAAGATTAAGAGAGGTTCCCATAGATATTATAGCAGTGGACGGCAGCATAACCCCAGAGTTTACTCCCAGATGAAGTGTGAAAGAAAGTAGGAAATAGTGTTAATCTCAGGGCAGTTTCTACGCTATTTTGATAATTTTTTGCCTATTTTACCTACTTATTTTTCCTAATGGCCACCCCGCCTAGAAGTGGCCATTGTTCTTGATAGTCTTGTCGATGACTACTTTAACACCAGGTACAGTTCTTGCATCCACAGCTTGAGGTGGTAGAATGTTCCATAGGTCTACCTCCCTCACCGTGAAGAAGGTACAGGAAAAAAGGGTGGTGCTACTTTAGTGTGCGGTCTACTCAGCTGGAGTTGGTCTACCGGGATATTTACATCAAAAGAGGCACAAGAAAATGAGTCACAGTGTGTGTGTATTGTATAGAAAAATTCGTTCCTTTAAGGGTTATTTCGCAAGATGTTTATAGTCCCAGGGTGTGGAAAGACACAGGGTTCGTTCACAGGGTGTGGAGAGACCCAGGGACGTTCTCATGGTGTGGAGAGACCCAAGGGACATTCCCAGGGTGCGGAGAGACCCAGCGGATGTTCCCAGGGTGTGGAGAAGCCCGGGAAAAAGTGGAGATTCGATGCGGGAGGATTTGTTGTTGGTCGACAGCTGGTGTGAGATGCAGGTGGGCGGCGACTCATCCTGCTGCCTTACTTATAGGACTCGGGTAGACAATAGTTATGGGGGCAAGGTAGAGAGTAGTCTGAGACGGAGTCAAGCGATGGTGCGGAGGTAGACGATCGTTGTAAGGCAGTAAGTAATCAACGTTATGCGAAAATAGTCATTCGTAGTTGTTGTCCCGAGTAGGTATTAATAAATGGGAAGAAATAGAAGATAGTTATGGGGCAGCGAGAATCTAGACGTAGACACTATTTATTGGTTAGGTGAGGTTACTAACATGTACGACCGTGATCAGTGTACAGTATATTAAATCACCATAGAGTTATCACAGATGCGGCCTTTTTACATAGTTAGTGATCCAGTAACGTAGAGTTTGAGTGTTTACAAAATTTCCAGTCACAGATCGCCCTGCTGCGCCTGGCTGTACCAAGACGTGTGTTCAATTGTTAGATCTCATTGAAATATTTACAGTTCCATTATAATATTTTGCATCATACTTATAGAACTCGACTGATTATGTTATTTTCGGGGGTTTATGTTTATTTACGTGTTGTGTGTATAAGTAGAATGAGAGACTTGTAATATAACGTGTTTTGTCGGTGCTGCAGGGCGGTGTGTCGCTCGCTGGTTACTTCTTAGACACTATGAGCCTGGAAGCTTTTGATCTCTTAAAGTTTGCTGTAGTTAAGGAATTTAATAAGATACCCAGAAAGATACAGGTTAACGTGTTGCAGGTCACAGGGGCGGGAAACATTGGTGAGGTTAGTCTGTCTCAGCCTCCACTACCTGCCTGATAATCACCAAGTTCGTTTGATAAAATATTTTGCTTGGTTTGGTTTAATTCATCACATGATTACTAAATGTACCAAGACAATGAAGTCCCATGGCATACCATTAGGTACACATGCCCACAGGTACACATACCCACAGGTACACATACCCACAGGTACACATACCCACAGGTACACAAACCCACAGGTACACATACCCAGTTATACGTACCCACAAGTATATATATATAACCACAGGTACAACTGATTTAACTCTAGATTACTACGGTGTAGTTATGTTAATATCGGAGATAAAAAGATAACTTATCTAATGACAACGAGCCTTTGAAAGATCGACAGAAACAGCAGACCAGTAACAGAAAGCAACACACTAACAGACAACAGATCAACAGGACAGCAGCAGCCCAACAGACAAGCAGATTAAGAGATAAACAGACATTAGCAGACTAACAGACAAAAAGACAGGCTAGAGTAACATGCTCTGGTTTCTAATTATGACAGCTGGCATTGAGATATACAGAGTGATATAATTAGCAAATGGTCGTGGTCTCGCGTAGTTAACCACTGGCAACATTCCATTATATTGTATCACACTGTCTATGGCAACCCGGCGGCCGCCATATACACACACAGTCATATACCATGGTGTGTATACGGTATAACAACTCCAAGGAAAAATAGCCTTAAATAGTTATAGGAAACAGTATGGCAACCAAACCAACGGGACATCTCGAGGCTTCTGTCGGATCAGTAAACGTTTTGGTAATCTAACGTTGCTGTCCTTAACAAATGCTACAATAAAGGAAACAAAATATTATGATTATGAAGGCAAAACGAAAGCCACGATAATCAGTTATTTTGACAAGCAAGCAGCGTGGTGAGTGAGTACAGTACAAGGCTCATCTGCCCTGTGAGCTGCACCACAGAGCACAGCGTAAGGCGACCCCTGGGCATTCGGTCTTCTTGCTGTTAAAATGTCATGGGTTTATCACAGCTCTCCTCCAGCCTCGACACTACTCAAGTTCCCACTCAAGAATGTCACCAACCTCCACTGGCAGAGACACGGCCAGAAAAACGGACTACCTGACAAAAAATGCGATAACCACGGGAGAATGTCCGCCTCACAACACCGGGGTGTTGAAGGATGAGTCATTCGGCATTGTTTATGTTCGTCAAAAAGCTTGGATTATGTAGATAATGCTGCGCGAACGCTTCTAATGATTGAGGATTTGTTAAGTAAGTGAGGCAGTAATCATTGTCGGAGCCGAAGAGACCTCCCTGCTGTTTCTTCGTCATTAATAATCATCTCTGCCCCATTATGGAGACGTTTACAGGGCCCCCTGGAGGCAGCGGCGGGCACAAAAACGGAACAAGAGAGTCATTACCCATCCATCACCCGGAGGGAAGAAAGCAAGATGTTAGAAGCCGCTCTCGTACCTCGTATGATAATAATCTGAAGAAGGCGCTGCCGGAGGAGTGAACCACACGAGTCATAGATTAGGGCCTAATTGTTTTTCATCGTACATATTTTAGTGAACTCTATAAGATGGGCATAATGTCCCAGGGAAGGAAGATATTAAAAATCTTTGTCGTACATCACTATATGATGATCTGAAGAAGATGCTGCTGTGGAGTGGACTGAATGAGTTGTTCACCACTTACATTTTAACGACTGATAGATAATGCGAGGAGGACAAGTTCCTCGATAATCTCCACTATCAACAATGTAAAATGCCTCAGTGAGATAACGAGGCGCTTATTACACAGTTTAATGGAGAGGGTTGAGACCTTTGATACTGTCCTCATTGTACCATAAAAGAGAAGTGAGTTAGGTGACCTCACGTCTGTCACACGCTAAGACTAATTCTCGTGGTATGTGTGTATCTCAGGTGGACGTTCTTGTTAGGTTAGGTTATGTTCCCTAGTTCTATTCACCACATAGCTCATTAAGTGTACGCCACATCTGAGTGTATCTCTCAGATAAGATGGTGATGATAACACTGAGACAGTCACTATCTAACCTAACCTAACTAAAAAAGGATAAAATTCGCATAAAACAGACGCTCGTCCAAGTGGTATAACACCGGACCAGCTAAGCTACTCGTGAATCACTGGCAGCTTCTTGTTAACAGCAACGCGACGCCCCTTTATCACCCCTTAATGGTGGCGTTTCCGCACCATTTGACGGAATATAAACCACAGTGAGATGAAGACGTGAGGAGGCGGGAGGGAGACTGGCACGCTCCCTCTCTTGTTGGTGATGGTGGTGGCTTGGTGGTGGTGATGACTCGATGGTGGTGATGGTGGTGGTGGCATGATGTTTATGAGTTGTAATTATAGTGATAAGCACAAGACCATAAAAAATTATGACAATAATAATAATAATAATAATAATAATAATAATAATAATAATAATAATAATAATAATAATGATTAATAATAATAATAATAATAATAATAATAATAATAATAATAATAATAATAATGATTAATAATAATAATAATAATAATAATAATAATAATAATAATAATAATGATAATAATAATAAAGTACAATAATCATGTTACATAAGACGATATAACTAAAGAGCAGGGATAAGGAGAGAGAGTGTGTGTGTGTGTGTCAGCATTCTCACAGATCAGCACGTGCGATTATGCGGTTATTCTCCCAGAAAGAGAAGTCGGGACACGGTGTAATGCTTCACCCAAACAGCGATACAGGGCCGGCGGTCAAGATGGGGTCGCCAATACACTGAGAAGCTACCGTAACGTGATAAGTTTTCTGATTAAGAGTACATAAGGTAATAGTATTTGAGGATGTAGTGGAGGATGGAGCGCCCCATCACTCTCTTAATCCCTACTGATTTACACCAGGTTCCTCCAGTTACAGGCCATCCTGACTGGAGTTTTTCAGGGGTCATCTTGTCACCCTCCTGCACCCTCGTGACCTCCCAGGAATGATAATCTCTGAGTGTCAACCCCTGGTCCGGATTCTCA